ACCATCCCTCAGCTCATCTCAAAGCCACAGCTCTAGTGAATACCTTTCTTTCTCTTCTGTGACCTATTCGAGTTGTGCAGGGTTTCTAATCAGTAGTCCCCCCCCCAAAACTGTTTCGGACGTACTTCAGTTTCATGAACACCTCCTGTCACACCTCGGTAAGCCACAGATCACCGGCAATGTGTGGCTGTGGTTGGGGTAAGACATTACTTTACTAACTTGTCTTCTCATCCTGCAGGATCTGCTGCAGTCTAAGCAAGGAAATGTTCTTCAAAAAGGGATGTCAAGGTTCACACCCAGCGACATGCAACTGCGGCTTTTGGTGCTTCAAGAGTAGTTAAATGTCCGCATCTCATGGTTGCGGACAGGAAGCTACGGGACAATTTGTTACCAACACGCCCATCATTCCGCCTGCTCCTCACCTGGCTCTGGCGGTGGGTTCTGGCCCCCAGCTCCTGCCCTGGGGTTGCCAAGGCAAAGGCGCCGCGGGAGCCAGCAGCGCTGGCGTCAGGGCAGCGGCCAAGCACGCAACGCGCGATCGCGTGGTGCCACCTCGTGGGGAGCGGGACAACAGCCAGGCCCCGCCACCAGCCCCAGGCCGGCCCTGGGAGCCCCGGCCACCGCCGGAGCTCAGCGGGGAGGGAGACGGAGGCAGCAGATCGCCAACATCCACCATGGCCACGGGCCGCTGCCCATCACCTGCCGGGCTTGCTGTGCCAGTCCACAATCCACGGCCCAGCTTGTAACCAGCGACCAAACTGAGCTGGACAACTACAATCTAACACTAAACAAGCATTCCCACACTCATCATTTGGTGGGCAGATGTATTTCTCACAACAGAAAAGCAAAGCCTTGATGGAGCCCTCTGCTAGGGCGAGAGCAGGGACCCCCCGGCACCGTGGACACCTTAGCCAAGCGGGGGCTCTGCCCCGAGCTCCTGCGCCAGCAGCAGCACTGAAGCAACAAACCACGGCGCAGGGGATGGAGCAACCACACTGCACTTCAACTTGGACGGATGGCAGCAATTTTTAATACAGATGTGAATAACATGAGTTACTCTGGGATCACTCAGCTGCTTTAAAGTGAACCATGTTCTGAATGGGCTGTAAGATCAATGCTTTTTACCAGCAGAAGACAGGGAAAGCAGACCCATCTAGCCTACTGGGATTCAAGGTCTAAATGTATTTTAAAAATAATTCTGGTCAATCTCTTATCTCGCAGTTGAAGCCGGTTAACTTCAGAAGTCATTTTCTGTACACGACAGAGCTGTGAGGTTATTTCATAGAATCACAGAATGGTTAGGATTGGAGGGGACCTTAAAGATCATCTAGTTCCAACCCCCCTGCCATCAGCAGGGACACCTTCCACTAGACCAGGTTGGTCAAAGCCTCATACAGCCTGGCCTTAAACACACCCAGGGAGGGGGCATCCACAATTTCCTTGGGCAACCTGTTCCAGTGTCTGACCACCCTCACAGTGAAGAACTTCTTCCTAATATCTAATCTAAACCTCCCCTCTTTCAGCTTAAAGCCATTTCCCCTTGTTTTGTCATTAAGTGCCCTTATGAAAAGTCCCTCCCCAGCTTTCTTGTAGGCCCCTTCAGGTATTGGAAGGCTGCTATAAGATCTCCCCAGAGCCTTCTCTTCTCCAGGCTGAACAGCCCCAACTCTTTCAGCCTATTTGCTGTAATCTTTTTGTTATGAAGAGGAACAAAACCCCAGAGTAAGGAAGTCACAGATGAGTGGTGGCACTGCTCGACTCCCCCTGTGACAGCCCATCATCTTGAAGCTGGCAAAACCATCAAGCAAAGCTGCAAAAGAAGAACCCTCTCTCTGTTGGCGATACAAGAGGGCTAACAGAAGAGGGATGAGCAGTTATGATCCTGTAGAAAATCAGATCCCAACAACGAATGACTAGCAAAGACTGATTTCTGTGTATTTACCCACAAACTGCAATCCTGACTTTGGGTTGCGTATGGAAGTGGACGAGCTACCCAAGACTGACAGCCACAGGACCACAGAGGGCTAGGGCCAGTCATCCAGTGTGCCGAGGTCCTGCAGCCCTTGCTGCACTGTCCGGGGGTGCCACAACCAGCTCTTAAAATTACCTTGGGTGTACTTAGTACAAGCTGTAGTTGTGTATTTCAGTATAGGCACACTGTTGCAATGCTGCAGGATGCATGACTTGGTACTGGAATAGAGATTTGTGCCTTTTATTTTTAAATAAAGGAGGGAGGAAAAAAATGAAAAGTCAGGAAGAACAGAACCCCAGAAAAATCCATTTTGAGGAAGATACTTTACAGAAGAAAACTTTCAGAGATTGACCAGTTTAGTTTGTCACAACATTAAGACTCATGTTACACTGCTCTAAGTACCCCGGCAGCAAAGATATCTGGCAGGAAAAAGTATGCAGAGGACCTGTCTGGAAACCAAAGCCAGTCCCATGGAGACACTGCAACCAGTGCTACTAATCACAGTGATTCTAATCACACAGAATGTCAGGGATTGGAAGGGACCTCAAAAGATCATCCAGTCCAATCCCCCTGACGGAGCAGGAACCTCAATGAGATCACACAGGAAGGCGTCCAGGCGGGTCTTGAATGTCTCCAGAGAAGGAGACTCCACAGCCTCCCTGGGCAGCCTGTTCCAGTGCTCTGTTATCCTCACTGTAAAGAAGTTTCTTCTCAAGTTTAAGCGGAACCTCCTGTGTTCCAGCTCACACCCACTGCCCCTTGTCCTGCCATTGGGCATCACTGAGAAGAGCCTGGCTCCATCCTCCTGACACTCACCCTTTATATATTTATAAACATTAATGAGGTCACCCCTCAGTCTCCTCCAAGCTAAAGAGACCCAGCTCCGTGTCTCTTTATAAACGTTTCTTAAAAACATCTTCATATTTATCTTCTAGTCGAGGCTGCAAACCGTGATGGAAACTTTTGGCTTTTACATTTCCAAACTTAAGAGCACAGGCATGTCTGTAAAAGCCAGAGCCACCTGTACTATTCCATTATAACAATACTATTACTTATTTAAGACTTAACACATAGTTCTGTGAAAACCATTTTGCAGCACAGCATCTTCCACTGGACATCCCAGCCTACAAATCCCACTGATACACAGCAAGATGCTAAATTCTTAAGGTCATCTCTGATCACACAGGAAGGAAGGAGCCTTTCCTCAATTGTCCAGCCAAAAGCTGGAACCCACAACTTTTCAAAAAGGAAGTCAGAGATTTAAAAAAAAAAAAAAAACCACCGTGTAAATTTACACTTTCTCCATTATCTCTGCAAACTGATGGAATAAATCAGACAAGAGAACAGTCTCAAAACCTGAACCGCCATCCATACACCAGATATTTTAGATTCACCAGCGAGAGGGACAGCATGGCACCGTCACCCTGTCTCTCACTGGCTCCATCTCTGCACCACAGCACAGCTGCTCAACACCACTACCTCAGACTCATCACAAAGTGGACAAAATAGAATATCCCAAGTAAACACAACAAGGTTTCAGCTCCTCAGACTCTTGCTTTCAAGTGTGCAAAGTTGTATTTCAGAAAGGAACAGACTTTTTCTTTAGTAAATCTGTATTTAATTATTTTTCATATACAAATTAAGAGAACACACACATTTTAAAAATCATTATTCCATCAAACTGAAAAAAGCCAAACCAGCACAAATTAATATTTCAAAAATACTACAAAGAAAGATAAAACAGCTATAGAGGTAAGAATAAAAAGCTTTTCAATTCCATTTTCTGCAAAATTACACTCTGAATACTACCTTGTACACACATGAATGGAGCCCTTAGTGGAAAAAAGAACCCAAAACAATCCAGTGCAAATTAGTTTTAAACTAATGGAAATAAATTCACATTTGAGGAGAGCCATCACATTTATTTTTCTCCTCGGTAACAAGATTATTGCACAAAAACAGTCAAGTCCTTTTTCCCCCACAAGCATTAATACTTTACAGCTTTAGTGATTCTAAAAGAGATGCTGGGAGGTTCCAATGTTTCTTACTTTGGAGTGCTCACGCACCCCACACAAAACATACCCGTTTACACAAAAGAAATGTGTTTATCTGGTCAGCTGAATTCTTTCCTTCTCGTGCATCAACCCTGACAACAATGACTGTGCTGCGCCAATGAGGCCTTGTGAGTTTGCAGTGAACAATTTGACTTACGATAATGATGCCTGAGAAGAAATCATAATCCAAGTAATACCCAAGGTGAGCTGACTTCACAGGACCAACAGGACAAAAACAGCAATGAAACCTATTTCTCACTCAAGCAAGCTCACTATACTCTGATTATATTCTCAAAGTGCAAAAATGGGCTGTCTATTGAGAACCGTGCTGTATTCCTCACAGAAGCAGATCTCAGAGCAGAACTGCACTTCAAGTAAGTTCACAGTTGCATAATAAAAAAGTCCCACGATCTTTTGGCTGATTTGTGGTCTTTCTGCTCAAGTAGAGCTCTAGTAGTAGGCTAACTCAACCTAAAGCAATTTACTCAACCCAAAAATCAAATTGCTCCATTGAAGCAAGGTAAGGTAAAGTTCAGTTTTAAACACTGGTCTGAGACTACAGAAGAAGAAAAAAAAAACCCAAACCACCAAACCCCAAACAGAATTAATTTTTAAAAACCCACAACCATACATCAAATGTATCGGATAGACTTAAAATGAGACACAAAGAAAAATGTCTGGCAGTCATGCTGCAGACAGCCTTGAAAGCACTAGTTAGTATTATATTTTCAAAATTATGAGACGAACAACAGAACAGGTGTTTATTAGCACCAAAGCAAACACAGTATTTCTCAATTGGTAGCTAAGTCCCAAGTACCAAACGCTTAGTTGCCAATTCTAACACGTGAAACATCCAAATACTAAGAACAGTATCAACACTGCAGTCAGATACGCTCTGGGTGACTCTACTACTTCTTTCAAAACACGATTAGACCCTACCAAACCAGTGTGACAGTGTGTGACTACCAAGGCAGCTCAGTTAAAACATGTTTCAGTATTGGTTTATGCTTTTAATCAATATTATTAAATATAAGTATAAAAGCTGGACCAAGTTAAATAGGAAATACAGTTCTACAGGTGCTACTCATGGGACCAGAAATGTTTGGGGTTTTTTATGATTCATTTTTCACAGCATCGAAGTTCTCCTGACTGACAAGGCAAAAGGCTAGGACAGCTGGCCACAGTCAGTAATGACAATCTTTTTGGAGGTCTTTCCACTCTTGGAACCAAAGCTCTCAATTTTTTTCACGACATCCATTCCTTCCTTTACATGCCCAAAAACAACATGTTTTCCATCTAGCCTGTAAAACAAATAAACAAAGGCAGTTTTACTTAAAACAGCAAAGACTGAAGCAAACTGAGCTCAGTGTAGCCACGTTAGCAGATCTTCATAGCTCTCACCTGCTGAGCAACTCTACGGCAAAGGCACAACTACAAGGGACATGACATACTTTTAGCTCTGGACCTTAGAAGCTCTATGAGGGATAGTGGCCTTGTTACCCTCACAGCCCTTCCTCCCTCAAGTAGCACAAAGCAATTTATTTTCCATTGTGAGTAATTTAGAAACTAAAAAGAAACACAAAACCTCCAAAACAAACCAACCAACCACCACAAAAAAAAAATCAACTCGCAAACAAAAAAAACCCTCTAAGAAAACCCCAAACCCCGGGACCAACTCATCAGGTTAATATGCAGGGCTGAGAACTTACCAGTCAGTTTTTGCAGTGCAGATGAAGAACTGAGATCCATTGGTATTGGGTCCTGCATTGGCCATTGAAAGAACACCTAGAACAACAGCAGCCTATTAGATTGGTGTCACAAACATGCAGTGGAGAAGACAAGTTTTTAGACTAAATGTGCACAGACAGAAGATATGACGATCTCACATTGCCTCCAAATGATTTCTAATGCCAGTTTCTTGTCTTTGACTATGCCCTTGAGCCCAGCCTCCCTTCTGTCCACACCAAGAATGTTAGTAATGTAATTGGTTGTTCACGTCCTGAAAATGATTAACATCAGGTAACCTCTACTGTGGTTCAACAGCAGCAGTAGTTTCCTGTGATGAGGAAGTGACAATCCAAAAAAGAGAGGCTATAAAATTCAATCAGAGGTTCTTATCTACGGCTTTTCCTTTTTTTTTTTCTTGATTTAATCTAAGTTTTCAAGGATATGCCTGTGTTATTTAGTAAAAAAGAAATCCCAGACTGCTTTGTTTCACTTCTGCAGTAATCATCTAAGTAAAAAATTGAAGTCTATGGCTTAGAAAAGAGGAAAATAAAAGCAGTAATTTCATCTTTGTAGAATTTGTAAGTAAAATACAAAAAAACCCATACTTCATTTTGCACAGTCCCCTTTATAGTAAGCGCAAGAATGCCAATGTCTCCTGTTAAAGGCTGATTTATTTTTGTACAGCAGTCTACACAAATAAGCACGTGCCAAGGACAATGCATTGTTAAACTCCTGTATGTCTGTAACTACCAAGTGCCTCACACATCTAAAAAAAAAATATATATATATATTTATTTTTTTTTAAGGACATCTTCATAAACAATGCTTCGTTACAGGTTACAGTCATCAGAAGGTAGAAAGAGTATGTTTATTTACCAGGTCCTACATGCTTAAGTATGAAATTTTCATCTGGAAATCTACTGCCATAAATAGATTTTCCACCGGTTCCATTATGATTTGTAAAGTCACCACCCTGAAACAGAAATGGCTATTAACTTTACCAGTACACAAGCATTATTTTACATCAGAAGCGATGCTATTGAAAATATACTCACTTGCTCTAATTTAAAAGTAATAAAATCAGTACCTTTTCTTCAGGTTAAGAATGAGTATGGTCACATAAGGATTTAAAACCATGTAACTAGATGAAACTTACTACAAGTAAATGTCTGCTCCAGATACTGCTCCTATTCTCCAACTGACATCTAGAACTCCAACAATCACCTTTCTATGTTACCACCTTACCCACCTTGCTCCCAAATGTGATGCAACAAATAGTAGTAACTTTAAGAAACACCTCCAAGGCCTCAAATCAAAATCACCCAAAGTCACTACCACAGGCAAGACCTGAGGACTTTTTTTTATTCCCTTTCTTTCTTTCTTTCTCCCAACAGCTATAAATACTGGTCAGGATCTCCATTATTACTATTTGCTATTTCTAGATTTTGTTGTTTAACTATTACACCTGAACTATTTAAACTTACCTCAGCCACATGCTGTTTGCTGGGATAGATGTGATCACCTATCTAAGGTCAGACACACAAAACTGAACAATAACAACAACAACAAACAAACAGGCACAGCGACTCCCCAAAGCGGCTGCTGAACACTGCTTCCAGTAATCTGCCATCTCCTCTTCCAGAGGTGACACCACCCATGCTGGCAAAGAACTCACACCTACCACGTATTTCATATGATGTTCACCTTTCCATTCTCACCTTGAGCAATCTATTGCAGGTGGTGTTACACCACATAGGAGTGTACAGCTACTCCTACGCAGTCCCAGAGGTATGCTCTGCATGCTGCGTGAAGGCATCTGATGCCAGGTCCTGGCTATGATGACCTCCAATTAGGCTATACCAATTGTCTGAATCATATTAATGCTCCATCTCAACAAGTGGCAACACGAGTGTGCTGACCAGCTAATGACAAGGAAAGCAAAACCCTGTATGCTCTTTGGAAACTTTAGGAGACATCATCCCTTTGCTTTACCCCTTCCCATTTACTTTGGGGTTTGATTTTAATGCAAACTACTGTGCTTTTGAACATATGTTTCCTCTCACTTTAAAGTATTTGAAACCTACAACAGCGTTTCCACTTTGGTAATGACTACCAAGTAATTCCTAAATATCAATCCATCATTTCACCATACCACAGAGTCAACCACGTAGTATCCTCATTTTGGGTCCATCTGTGGGGACAAAACAGGGTGGCAAGGAGAACAGACTTACATGGAGTCTCACAAATGAATGGCAGAACTGAGAGCAGGATTTCTATTTTTCTTATATTTATGTATTTCTGATCCCAGCAAGACTTCTAAACTTTGTCCCTTTGTCAATATCACAAAATCTTAGTTTGCATTTCAAAGGGAAGAAAATAGGTCCTTCACACCACACTTGTCCCTTTTCTCTTCTTAGAAAGAGGACACAAGATTAGGGCCTTTTGCTCTGACAGCTGTATTTTTAGCTTTAAAAAAAAAAAGTGAGGAGGAGAGACCATCACAGTCATTAGTTAATAAACAAAGCATGTTTACTATAAACTTCATCTCAAATTTTTTACAGAGCCATTCCACCATGCAATGCTGTTGAAATGTAGCTTCTAAGGGAAGAAAGAACCACAAGGAATCATACAGTCCAGTGCACTACAGCAGCTGAGATCCTGCTCATCTGCCAAGCACAGCAGAAAAAAGGGCTTTCAAAAAGGCTTTTTCTGGGTTTTTTGTTGTTGTTGTTGCTGCTGTTTAAGAAAAAATTGCTAACGTGCACGGACTTTAATTCAGAATTTTGAAAGATTTATCCTTTACATCAAAATGAAATCCATTTCAGGTGTGTCATCCCAAAAAATCTACCCCAGCCAACCCTTTGGTTCCCTCCTCCCCTCCATATTAGGGAGATCTTCAGAAAAAAAAAAATTAAAAAGACATTTTCTATTGTGAACAGATTATTCTACTAGGAATAAAGAATGAACATGCTGTTTTCTTAGCTCAGTTAGAACACAAGGTTGATTGTTATTCTACTCAAAAATGCTTCTCCCAAGCAAGTGCCATTTTCCAAATAGGCCCCCCACTAAAGTACACTGCTACACAAAAGCAGAAAGCATTAAGTCATTTTTTTTAAGATAGTCTACATGTAATTTACATTTATTTGTACAAAAAATGTGCTAAGCAACAGCCATAGCAAAAAAGATCAGAAACACAAGTCACACTGTCACTTCTTTATTCTGTAGTTATCAAAGGTTAGAGCAGAGCCAATTAAAATGTTACTACTAGTCTAAATGGTTCTAAAAATATATAAATAACATACAGATAAATTTAATAGCAAAAGTAAAAAAAGAAAAACAACCCACATTACCTGGCACATAAATGAAGGAATCACTCTGTGAAAAGTGGATCCTTTATACCCAAATCCTTTTTCACCAGTACAAAGAGCTCTAAAGTTTTCTGTGAAAACAAAGCATAAATTATTATGTTGCCACACATAATATAATCAAACACAACTAGACTAACTATGTCCCAAGTTTATATGCTTCAAAAATTTTATAGTATCTTTAAAGTATTATTGATTTATTAGTTGTTTCCATGCTTTAAGAAGCCTGTTATAAAGCTAAGGAAACAAAGCTTGTTTAGCCTCAGAACAGGGCACAAACATAACCCTTTTCGACCTCATCTCCCTTTTATTTTGCTGTTGTATCTTAACTCTAACCCCTCCGTCTCCCCAAACACACCACTCTGGAGTCAAAGATTTCATTTTCTGACTGTTATGCTTTTGTTCTCTACAGTAACTGTGAAGATGGTGTTTGTTTTTTTTTTTTTAAGGATATTCATCTACTGGGAACTGAAAGTACTAGTTTTTCAGAACCACTACATACAGAAATGAGGAAGGAAGCATGTGCTAAAACACAAAAACTTTGTAACACAAGTGTGCTGACCAGCTAACGAAAAGGAAAGCAAAACCCTATATGATCTTTGGAAACTTTAGGAGACATCATCCCTTTGCTTTACCCTTTCCCATTTGCTTTGGGGTTTTATTTTAATGCAAACTACTGTGCTTTTGAACATATTTATTCACCATCGATAACCAAACCTACAGACTGTACAGCCTTGGCATAAATTACAAAATGAAACTATCTGGTACAACGACAAATCATAACTCCTCACTAGCACTGTTCTGATAAAGTTTGTATCATATTTCTCTATTTAACAAATATGGATAGAACATGGAAACAGTTTCCAAAAGGTAAACAGGACACTCTTGTCTCTGAAAATCACAATCTAAACCTTAAAGTATGGAATTCTGGAGATGCTGCCTTACCTGCTGTCTTTGGAACCACGTCAGCTTTCAGCTGTTAAAGAAAAATAAACAAGCAAATTAGTAAGTCAGCTTTTTCATACATACACAGAAAAACTTCTACATGGGAGGTGGGTACAAGTGAACCCTCTTCCCAAGGTGATGAGCTATCTGAAATCACAAGCCACCCAAAATTTCAAGAACACCATGAGACTTTCCAAGCATTTGGCTAGCAATTAAAAATATCCCCTCAATGCAACTTTTGGCCAGTTAATGAAGAGCAACTTGAGCAGTGTTTAATGATTTAATTGATCAACACAATAATTTAACAATGACTAAGAAGAATCTTTACAATAGACCCCAAGGATCAAAACCACTTTGCATACAACTGCAGAGATCAAAGTCTCTCCAGCACAGAGCCATCCGTTTAAATCTGCTCAAAAGGCAAAGGAAAAGGACGAGCAAAAACTGTCTACCAAAACTGACTCATGATGTTACATACACATTTGTTACCAACAAAAATTTCTGATTTTGATTAGTATGCATATTTCAACTAATCTTAAAAATGTATGTATTTTAATGACCTAGAAAAAGTGACATAAAAATAGCCATATCAGGTCAGACCAAAGTTTTATCTAGTCACACATCCTGACAGTGGCCAGCAGCAGACACCTAGGAACAGCATGGCTATGGCAAGAAGTTAATGTTCCTCCCCCAGGACGCTCTCCCTGGATGTCTATAATTTAGAGCTGAATCTAACCACAACTTAGCCAAAGATTCAAGGTGAAGCTGCAATACATTCAGATATTCTGTAAACTGGGCACACTAAAAATATTTAACGTGGAAATCAAATGCTGCCACAAGAATATAGTAACATTAATGGTAGCTTTTATAATACCATACAGCTATTTACTAAATCTCACTGATAAATAAAGAACTTGCAGAGCAATATTTTTACTTATGACTCCCTCAAACGCTACCTCCTGAGAACATGAGAGCTGGTAGTGTCCAATTAATTTATACCTTGACACTTTCAATGAAGAAAAATTAATTGGACTCTAGCTTCAAGGGAAACTCTTTTAGAGAGAATCCTTGTGAACTACATTTTAAAAAACCTATTGATACAGACCGAAGGCAGGTGCTGGAGGCAGAAGGCCACAGCGAATCCCCTCAGCAGGCAGCAACAGGGAAGAGCAGCACTCCCTGTGGTCCTGGAGCCCAGCCCTGGCTCCTCCCGCACACAACATGTCTCCAGAGGAGTGCCCGCACCCAGGGGGATGTGCTGCACCACCAGTACAGTCCTGGCGCCCATCTCGCTCTTCTTAAGAGCGGAGCGGACCGCAGTCTTCCTGTTCAGGCTGTCTTTAAATGGCTGAGCATTTCAGAGATGGAACTTCTACGGATAAAGCTGGTCAGTAGCTGGCTGTTGAGCCAGCTGCCAGCTCAAACAGAGCTGTGCAAACCTCTCAGTGCACACGAAGCAGGAAGCTCAGAGAGGCAGCACCTCAGAAAACCCAAGACTAAGAACCAGACAATAAGCACCCGGGG